TTCCATAGGTGTAGGTCAAGTTCATCAAATTGTATGAGAATACTTTTTTTTTTCCTCTTCTTTTTACTTCTGGTTGAGCTCTGATCATCCAGCCACTGAAGCCAGGATAAGTGGGTATTTTCTGCAAGTGTGGGTGTTCTTATGCATATGCCCTCTTTTATCAGCTGGACGCTTCACTCTCCACTCTAGTCCTCTGTGGCTATGTCACTGACTCTGGGCCTAGGGTTTGTTGTTTTGCAGTTCAGTCTCTGTCCCAGTTGCTATTCTGTCGGTTCTGACTGATGCTAACCTCTGTGTCTCAGACCTGTGCCCGTAGAGCTTTCAGTGGCTGACTTTTCTGAAGTAGATCATCAGGCCACTGAGTTGGTGTGACTCATAGCGAACCCCATAAAGGGGTTCCCAAGGGTCGGCTGTTGAACTGCTAACTTAATCTTTATAATTAGCAATCCAGTGCTTATCCCTACAGCGCCACACCAGGACTATGTTGTTGTTAAGTGCTGTCGAATTGCTTCTGACTCATAGTGACCCTGCATAGGGTTTCCAAGGAGCGGCTGGTGAGTTTGAAGTGCCAACCTCGTGGTTCAAACCGACCTTGCGGTCCAATACCACATCAGGTCTCTAGGTAGATTCAAACCTCCAGCCAAGCCCTTTAGCCATTTGCGCCACCCTGGAACAAAGTTAATTTGGAAAAACAAAACCATCCCATTAATAATGTGAGACAATGTTTAAGATTAGAGGGAATAAGCTTGATTTATGTAAAAAGCATTTTACGAACATAAAACTACCATTGTAGTGTTGTAAGATAACTTTGTCCTTCAAAAGAGTTTATTAACTGCTTCATCCACACAGACAGTGGAGAGTTCAGTTAGCTCTTGCGTGAGGTAAACTCATGTCATGGATCAGAAATGAAACAATGTGAATAGATAAACTGGCTCAGACTGAATTCATTGCCTGTGTTCTCTTTATCTTGGTTTGTTTCTTTCTATGTAAAGTTTTGTTTGAGGGTTTGTTTGTTTGTTTTATATTTGCAACAAGTTGAACATATTTTCCTAACTGCTAAGGAGGGTGCATTATAGGACTTAGGGAGGAGACCTGATGGAGCAGTGCTCGGGTTTGTTGTTGTGATGTGCTGTGGAGTCAGTTCCGACTCATAGCGACCCTGTCTGTACAGGGTTTCCAAGGCTGTAAATCTTTACGGGAGCAGAAAGCCTCACCTTTCTCCTGTGAAACAGCTGGTAGTTTCAAACTGCTGACTTTAAGGCTCGCAGCCCAATTTGTAACCACTACGCTACCAGAGCTCCTTAGTGCTCGGGTACTAAACTGCTAATCAAAATGTTGATGGTTCGAACCCACTAGCTGGCTACACCATGGGAGAAAGATATGGTAGTCTGTTTTTTTTTTAAAAGACTTCTTTCCCCTTGAACTTCTTCAGAGTTTTAGTTGACTAAATCGGATCTTGGGACGAGAGGTTTAAGGCGCGTGGATTGTTAGTGTTCAGTCTTTGTAGGACTTGAAGAAACTGATTCACCCCCCCGCCCCCAAAATTGGAATTTTTCATTAGCATTTGGCATGTGCCCCCCAAAAAGGGACAAGAAAACTGCACACAGCTAATTGTAGTGAATGGTACCTTGGGGATGAATTGGGAGGCAGTTACTGCTTATCCATAATGTTCTAATTTAAATTCTTGTGTCTTCATCTGTTAGTGTGATTTGGAAAAGAACCAAAATATGAACCAGTTGCTGCCAAGTCAACTCATGGCTGCCCCGTGTGTGTCAGAGTAGGGCTGCGTTCTTTAGGGTTCTCAGTGTTGGACTTTTTCACCAGGCCTTTCTTCTAAGGTGCCGCAGAGTACGCTTTCAGTTAGCAAAGGAATACATTGCCCCTCACCCACCCCCCAGGGACTCCATTAATTCTGGGTAGCGTGACCACGGTCAGTGGTGGTTTTCTTCTTTATACTTTCTAGGTGTATTTCAAACCATCCTTAAAAACAAAAAATTTAGACTCCTAATCCTTTCCTCATCTGTTACCCTAGAAAACGTGGACACAGAGCTGCCTGCCAGTCTGGGGCAGAATGAGGAGAAGCCCGTGCCTGCTGCTCCTGTGCCCAGCCCGGTCGCCCCGGCCCCCGTACCGTCCAGGAGAAACCCTCCAGGCGGCAAGTCCAGCCTAGTCCTGGGTTAACTCCGACTGTCCGAACTCCATCCTCTGTTTGTTTGTTCTCTTCATGCTTGTGAACTGCACAACTTGAGCCTGACTGTACATCTTTTGGATTTGTTTCATTAAAAAAGAAGCACTTTATGTACTGCTGTCTTTTATTTAATTTTTTCGTTTTCTTTTTTAAAGAACCGGTTTCTCTCTGTCCTGACTCCTGGGTCTGTTGGCAGCCATGGCATGAATGTTTTCTAGAAGTAGAGTTGAGGGAACGCGTTGTGACCCTTAGTACTGGGTTTCTAAGAACAAATGATTTAGTTGCAAATGTGTTAGAGGATCTTTTGTACTGAGGTTTTTTAAACCCTTCCTTTGTCAGCTTTCCTCGGGTTTACCAAGCCTTGACTGAGCGGACAGTGAGCAGTCCACAGGCACCACCCTTCCGTATCCCCAACACACATAGAGTTCTCCGTGCAGTGGTCCTTCCCTTGGGGTTGCCCTAATGTAACAGAAAGCATACCCTATTCTGCTGTGCCGTACAAAACAATAAAGGGGCCTGCATGCCTCATGCCTCGCTGCCTGCAAAGTAAAGAAATGCCTTTTAGTTTTTAATTTGAAGAAACCAGCCAGCTCTTAGCACAACTGTCTAACAAGCAGAGCCTGCTGCTCTCGCATAGAGGAAGGAGGCTTAGGACCTGACAGGAACCAGCCTGGGGAAGCTAGCAGGGGAGGTGAGTTGCACGGAAGTGGGTGTCCCTAAGGGACGGCTGCCCCAGGGGCATTTTTCTTCTAACTCGATGCTGTGTGCATGATGCTGGTGCTTGACCTGAGCCGAAAAGTCTCATCTTCAAATGTGTGTTGTATTTACAATCCTGGACTGTCACTTCAAGTAAACAGTTTCCACATTTTGAAACGTTGTGTCCCGTGTCTTCATTGAGACTCTTGTCCATTTTTTTTTTTGGTTTTCCCACCTAGTGAGTTGCCTTTTCCTTCTTTCCTATAAACTAAGCTACCTGCTGTTCTTAGGAGTCCTTTCAAGCTACTCTACTGAGGCCCAGAGGAACTCGGCCTTCTCCCTAGAGAAAATTCTCTAGCGAAAATGGGTTTGTGGTCAGAGCATGAGTTCAAAGTACCAAAAGTGTAATTAACCCTGGAGATAAAGCACGTGAATAATAGGATAATTGGTAGCCAAAGATAATTATTAGCTAGTATATTTAAAGACTCCTCTACCACTTACTTGGAGTCCTGGTGTGGCGCTGTGGGTTACAAGACTGAACTGTAAGGTTGGCGATTCAAGCTCACCCGCTGCTTCTTGAAAACCGTATACAGGGTCATTATGGGTAGGAACTGACTCAACAGCACGTAGCACCACTTACCACTTAATGTTAGCTGGGTTCTAACATTCAAAACATTTACGTCCTCTCTACTCTTAAGGAGCCCTAGTGGTGCAGTGGTTGAGCACTCAGCTGCTAACAGAGAGATCAGAGGTCCAACCCACCAACTATGCAGTCGGCTTCCCTGCAGATTGCAGCCTTGAAACCCTACGGGCAATTCGACCAGCTTGACAACTGTGGGTTGGGCTGGGTGTGTTAGTCCACTTCTGTGAGGTATTTGGTAACGGTGGTCGAAGAGGAGTGCTCCAAAGGGAGGAAGTGCCACTTCATTGTTAAGTTCCGACCCATAGAGACCCTGTATAGGGTTTCTAAAGAGTGGCTGGTGAACTTGAAACGCCCAACCTTGCGGTTCTAAAGTGACTGCAGTCCAGCGCATTAACCCGCAGCGCCACACCAGGACTCTGCCGCTTCATTAGAAGATGTAATGACAGGAGTCAGATGATGCAAACAAAGATTCAAAGAACAAAGTTCCTGTTCTCTAAACAAGGAAAGTTCTAGATCACCATGGTGAACTCATGCCCAAATCAAGCATTATTAAGAGCAGACTAGCTGTGCTATACCAGCTGTGCGCCTTTGGTGTGGTTTGAATCTCAACTTTATATGTTTGCTTTGGTGGTTTAATTTTCTGGAGATAGGTGCTTAATCAAAGTTTAAGGCAGTCTTGAGGGAATGAGTTGCTGGATCTGGGGGCTCAGGACCATAGTCTTGGGGAACACGGAGGACATTTGGCATAACAGTCCACAAAGACAAAGTTCTACACCCTATTTTGCTGAGTAGCAACTGGTCTTAAAAACTCAAGTTGAGTCGGCACAGAAGCGGAGCGAGGGAACTATGGCGACCTGGGGGCCTTAGGGCCCAGTCCGAGCTGGTGTTTGTGCCCTGCCCTGAGGTGCCACTGGCCACCTTCACTGTGCTGCCCTCACCCCTGCCTGTTCCTGCTGCAGCTGCCCCTGGCGCCCTTGGGCCTCTTGCTGCTGTTGGAGGCTGTGCACAACCGGCAAGCCACTATGGAAGTAAAGGTCAGGATTACAGCAGGGAGACTGGCACACAGAGTGTTAAGTGACTCACCCTTAACAATCTTGAAGCTGTTTAAATTAATTAACCCTCAAAGTGCCTCAATGTGCCCTGTGAGGTAGGTCAGTATTCCAATCTACAAAGGAGTATCTCTTCCCCCACACTGAAGTCAGTCATTGATTAAAAACTTACTTCAGGTAGTTAATCTTATACTCCAGGTACAGAGGACCCTAGGACCATCAAAGGAGAAGAGCAGGAACGGAGTGTGGGACCCTATCCAGAGAAACAGCGACACCAGAGATGGAGGCAGAGATGAGGACTCTAGACTTATGGGAAGAGAGGGACTGAGTGCTGGCAGCCAGGAGGCAGGCTTGCAGAATGTGCCCTTTGGTTATTTAAATTACATATTTCTGAGTTTTTGTGTACATCCCCCCAAAAAAAACAAGGACTAGTAGCAAATACTGTTGAATGATGATGCACGGAGGAAACTCTAATCATTGCAATGAAACAATGAGTGTAAAATTGATGTTCTCCCATATAAATCAATCCACAATAAAACTTTAAAAAACAACACTCTAAGTTGCTATTTAAGGTGCAACTATTTCTTTCTATAGATCCAGAGGAAAAAAGAAGAAAATCAAAGATACGTGGAAATAGACTAGATCAATGGGTCATTCAGCATCCCTGAGAACAGAAGAACTGAACAAAACCCAGGGTGTGGTGAATTACCGAAGAACATGACTCTTCTAGCCCTAGTCTTTGTAAATCCCGCCAGTAAGTCTTTTCCTGATGGGTCTGGGAAAGAGTAGGTGGATGAAGATACAGATAGGATGATAGGATTCAGATGTGAACAATTGTTAACAATGTTCGTGATTGTAAAAACTTGGAACTGTGACGTAGTATAAAATGAATTGTCTTAGAAGCAGAGATGGGGGAATCTCACTTCCCTCAAATAGAAGAGTCAGGAGTGGAGCGTGTCCTTTGGACCCAGAGATCTAGGTGTTGAAACCTCCTCGACCCAGGAACAGAAAGCTGCGACTGGAGGAGAGCAGAGGAGGAACAGCAGCAAAACCAAGAGGGAGAGCATGACACAAAGCAGTGCACTTCCCAGCTCATGGAAAAGTACAGCTGAGTGACTTTGGGTAGAAGGCTTGCAAAATGGGGTGTCTCTCGGCTCTTAACAGGGGAACTAGGTTTGCTAATCCAAAGAGCTAGAGTTGAGAGCCTTCAGATGAAGTGGTATATCCTGTGGGCGTTTATGAACAGCCCTTATAGAGTTTTCTGACATTGACCGAGCAGCTGAAGAGCAGCCGTTCTGATTGGCATATGTGATCCTGAATTGTAACTTCTTGTCCTCCCTAATCACTGGGAATTCTGTGTGGTCATGGCAATGAATTACTGAACCCAGCTGAAGAACAGGGATGGCTGGTACCACCAACTACCACTTACCAACTGCTCAGAGAGGGAATCACATTAGAAGACCTTGGATAGAATGGAAGAAAAATGTGGAAAAATTCAAAATGCTAAAAAAAAAAAATCACACTTAACTGGTGGGATAGAGACTGGTGGAACTCCCAAGACTATGGCCCTTGGTCACCCTTCAAGTCTGGAACTGAACTCTCCCCTGTGACTCAGTTTTCAGCCAAGCAACAAGGCAGGTCTATGAGGAACACTAACACTAGGAAAGCACGTTGTTGTTGTTAAGTACCGAGGAGTTGGTTCCGACTCGTAGTGACCCTGCACAGGGTTTCCAAGGCTGTCAATCTTTACGGGAGCAGAATGCCTCATCTTTCTCCTGCAGAACTGCTGGTAGTTTCAAACTGCTGACCTTGAGGTCGGCCGACTCATAACCACTACACTAGAGGGCAGCATTTACTCAAGACAAAATTCAGAGGGATTAGGAAAGGAGGAGGAATGGAAATGGGAAACAGGGAAGTTGGATAAATGAGGATGGAGTTCTGGTGTGGAGCATACGATAAGCACTGGACCACAAGGTTAGTTTGAACCACAAGGTCAGCAGTTGAAACTCACCAGCTGGTTCTAATACGGGATCGTTATTAGAACCCACTGGATTTCACTTAACAACAACATCGTGAGGATTGCAATGAACCAAATGTGTCTGCATTATCAAATGGAAAACGGATTTGCTCTGTAAACCTTCACCCGTCACAGTAAAAAGTAACAAAAAAATGTTCTGAGTGAGGGGATAGTTCAGTACAGCCATCTTGGTTCTGTCAGATCACCTCTGAAGGATTCTGTGTAACACGTTTAAAGTGCCCTGGTGGCATAGCCGTCAAGTGCTCAACTTCAAACTGAAAGGTGGGCACTCTGAACCCACAAACCACTTCATGAGAGAAAGATGTGCCAGTGTGCTTTCAGAAGATTACCTCCTTGGAAACCCAGTAGTACTAAAATAAAGGGGGACAGGTCTACCTTGTCCTACAGGGTGGCTACGGTTAGAAATAGACTCCATGACGATGAGTTGTTGTAGCACGTTTCCTAAAGGCTGTTCAATTTTCCAGTTAAAATAAAAAATTTAAAAAGTGAGACAATGTTCTTAAAATGCTGGTGATGATGTTGAACATTACCCAACACCCGAAGGGCAGTAGAAATAGCTTTTCCTTG